AATGCACAAGTAAAACATAGTATGCCCTCATTAATAAGCCACATTAACATGACTTATATGAAGAAAAACAAATGGTCAGGGAATGGATTTCTGAATTCCCACTATATGCCTACTTTTTAACAAAGTGTTTGCATATTTTCTGATTTTAAATTCAAGTAGGGCATTTCCTGCATTGCTCAGTATGATTTTCCTGTTTATTTATTCTCTGTGGACAGCCTGAAGGTTGTTACGAAATGACTGACACAAAAGCAATTGATTTAAATGTGAATCTCAGTTTCATTTCCTTTCCTCCAGGCACAGTTTAACATTAAATGAATCAGTCTTCCATTTGCTTTGCAAGCCAAAGCATTTTGTTTGTGGAAACCAAGTGAAGTCCAAGGTTTGGGTACTTTATATTTTTGAAATGTAACTATCAGAAAGTACAGAAAATCAGAACACTTCCTGTCTCCCAAATTTTAGATAAAGTATATTAGGAAAGGGCAGAGGAGGGATTCTAAAATGTTAGCAACCGATTCTCTGCCCGGTTGCTGGATGGGCATGGCCATGGTGGGTGTGGCCTACTTGGTCTCTTGAACCACGGCAGGGGGGGGGGGCATTTTCACCCTCCCCAGCTCTGCAGGCTTTCCCCAAGCCTCCAAGAGGGTGAAAACAGTCTCTCCCGGGCTACAGAGACCCTCCAGAAGCTGGAAATGGGCCTGTTTTCGGAATTCTGGAAGGCCCAATTTTTGCCCTCCCAAACCCTCCATGCAACTCCTGCACTTACCTGGCATCTAAAATGGGCTGTGTGGGAGACTCCTGGGAGGGGCGGGAGGAGCCAACGCGTCCTTTCAACTACTGGTTTGCCCGAACCGGTGTGAACTGGCTGAATCCCACCACTGGGAAAGGGGCTGACAAATAACTTAATTTAAAGAGCCGACAATACCAAATACTCTGCAATGTATATGTATTAAAAAAGGATTACTTATTTTCTATATTCTATACCTGAGTTTTCTTATTCCTAGCATTTTCCTGCAAGATTAAAAATATCAATGCAGATTAAAAAAAAACGTTTAGTGCTTGACTGTCTACTCTACATCAAGTTATTTACTCAGAATTCTGTATATTCTTTCAGGGAAATCTGTTTAGACTACCTAGCAGATAAAACACATCTAATTTACTACCACATCTTAGCACTGGAGGAGGAAATTCTTCACTGTATTTAAAAAAAGAATTCAGCTAGCATGTTTAATAAATGCTTATTAACTGCATAGCAGACAACCACAAATGAAAGCTCTATATAGAATCTCTTCTGCAAAAATTATTACTTTTATGCATTGCCGTGATGTATTTGGAGAAAATCCCAGAGCTGGGGTAAACTTGTTGTTTGTCTGTTGTTTTATTCATTTTTCTATTATTTGGTAAATAAACAAAAAATGCATTTCTTTTTCAATAATGCAGCATGAATTAAAATATTAAAATATTGTCCTAAGCCATAATGTGACTTGATTTTGACTTGACAAATTATGCGTACCCTGTCATTATGGTTTTAAACCATGGTTTATAATTTAGCATACAGTGCAGATTTAGTCAATTGTAAATTAATTAATAATAGTTAAAACAACCTATGAATTAACACTACGCATGAATCCAGTGTCTTTGAAAAGTTCAGTACTTTTACATATTCCTCCTGTTACTGCTACTGGACCAGTTAAGACCAATGCATGCAATATTGTTGAATCAGAACATCAAGTTCTTATCTCTCAATTTAATCTGACTTTTTATTACACTGTAGGCTTTTATTTTAATTGTGCAATTCTGTTACTTCAGAATAGAACAGAATAACAGAGTTGGAAGGGACCTTGGAGGTCTTCTAGTCCAGTGTTTCTCAACCTTGGCAACTTGAAGATGTCCGGACTTTAACTCCCAGAATTCCCCAGCCAGCATTCGCTGGCTGGGGAATTCTGGGAGTTGAAGTCCGGACATCTTCAAGTTGCCAAGGTTGAGAAACACTGTTCTAGTCCAACCCTCTGCCTAGGCAGGAAACCTTACACCACTTCAGACAAATGGTTATTCAACATCATCTTAAAAACTTCCGGTGTTGGAGCATTCACAACTTCTGGAGGCAAGTTGTTCCATAAATTGATTAATTGTTCTGTCAGGAAATTTCTCTTTAGTTCTAGGTTGCTTCTTTCCTTGATTAGTTTCCACCCATTGCTTTTTGTTCTACCCTCTCAGGTGTTTTGGAGAAGAGTTTGATTCTTTGTAGCAGCCCGAGATATTGGAAAACTGCTATCGTGTGTCCCAATTCCAGCAATCATTCTTCATATGTTTTAGCCTCCAGTTCCCTAATAATCTTTGTTGCTCTTCTCTGCACTCTTTCTAGAGTCTCAACATCTTTTTTACATCATGGTTACCAAAACTGAATGCAGTATTCCAAGTGTGGTCTTACCAAGGCATTATAAAATGGTACTTTCTAAGGGTTTGTGTTTCCTTCACCTTCAAAAGCTTGGCGAAAGGGGAAATGAGTGAAAGCAGAAGGAACTTTTTCATATACCCAGACGCTGAAGTAGAACAGAACTTCCGTTTAGGTTCAAAGGAAAGAGATGGTTATTGTTGTGGTGAAAATAGGAGAAAGGAGTAATTAGGTACGGTCACTGCTTTGAGTTACTTATAAAGTAATAAAGGGGGGATAAAACTTGAATAAATAGAGGCCTTCCCTTGCTTAAATCTCTTGCCTATAAGACTACCACCCAAGCAGTTCAGGTGATGAAGAGGAACACTTCTGTTCTGTGGCTCACCTATCTGTTTGCCTAAAATAATCTTTTAAAAATTTACACATAGCTCTCAAATCTCTCTGTAATTACCTATGAAAAGAAACTACCTTTGACTGCTCTAAATTTCCTATTCATCATTTCCAATCTTAGTTTGCTTTCCATTCAAGTTAAAAATAGTCTAATGATCTATTAATTTACCTTTCTCAGAGTGAAATATCTCCAACAATATATTTGGACCAGGGATGGTTAATCTTCAGGGTTATTATAATTCAAACTAAAAATAATTTAAAAAGTTCACATCTTATATTAAGCCATATTGTGATTTCTTCATTTATAACTTGCATGTTGTGTGAACATGTTCTGCAAACAGTTTCTTTTACTATTCCCCTGGAAAACGCAGTGATGCAAATTGCCACATATTACTTACAGATAGTATAGGTAGTCCTTGACTTATTACCACTATTGAGCCCAAATTTATGTTCCTAAGTGAGAAATTTGTTGGGTTTTGCCACATTTTATGACATTTCTTGTCACATTTGTTAAGTGAATCACTGCAGTTGTTAAATTCAGATGTTGTGGGTACGTCATCACCAGAGGTTCTTAAGAAGAGACTTGACTGTCACTTGTCTGAAATAGTATATAGGATCTCCTACTTGAGCAGGGGGCTGGACTAGAAGACCTCCAAGGTCCCTTCCAGCTCTATTCCGATTTTGAAATTAGTAACACCATTGTTAAATGAATCTGGCTTTCCCATTGACTTTGCTTGTCAGAAGGTCGCAAAAGATAATCACATGACCCTGGGACACTGCAATCATTATAAATATGAACCAGTTATCAAGGATCTGAATTTTGATCACATGATTATGGGGATGCTGCAATGGACATAAATATAAAAAATGGTTACAAGTCATTTTTTTCAGTACCGTTGTAACTTTGAATGGTCACTAAACCAACTGTTGAAAGTTGAGGACTCCCTGTACTGGGTTTTAAAACACTATCCTATAAATGTTAAACTAATGGCAAACCAGTTTCAAAAAACCTTGCTGAGAAAACTCCGGGAACTTTTTCATGTAGGGGCAAAAGACACAGAAGTATAGTCAGCCGGACAAGCAGGTTTAAAAACATTGTTTATCTATAGGCTGTCAGACTCCTAAATACAACTACAATCACCCCATTGAAACATACATACATGGAAATATATGACTGGTTTCTCCCTAATTACTTGTATAAGGACCATTTTCTATCTTATACTTCTTGTTTTGTATTTTGTTATGGATTACAGCAGTAGAGGCTAAATCAATTTCATTGTACATATGTACAGTGACAATAAAGATCGTTGTTGTTGTTATTATATACTTTATTCATTAAACATGAAACTCAGTCAACTGAACATTCAAAAATGCATTATTATTTCTTTTGTTTATTAAACATGAAACTCAGTCAACTGAGCATTTAAAATGTATCACAGATACCATTGACTGATGCTAATGGTTGATACAGTAAAGTATATGATGTTCCAGATAGCACAGTTTTTTGCAGTTCCACTGGTGTTATTGCAGGAAGTAGCAATTTCTTGATGTGTTTTGTAAAATTCTTGGCACATCAAGAAATTGCAGCTTCCTGCAATAACACCAGCGGAATTGCAAAAACTGCACAACTCAGAACATCATATATTTTAAGACGATACTTGATTGATACCTAGATGATGATGATGATTATTCCCAAGGAATCAAAAGCTGACTAAAAGGCACAAAAAAGCCCAAGCCAGAATTCCACACAGCACTATTTTAAACAATCACATTTTAGTGGGTTGTGAGAATTCAGTCAGTAATTGGATTTATCCAATATATGGTAATTCCAACATAATACGGTTTGGCGTTCCAGATTAATACTGGAAATTGGTTGAGTACACCATGGTTAGATTACTCCTAAGTAATCATGTTTGACTGATTCCTCAAAAGTTTCGCTCTTTCCACACATAGAGTCCTTCTTTCCCACTCAACGGCCACACCTGTAGCAGGTGTAGTAGCAGGTGCGGTTCCTCTGCTCGGAAGCCTCTTGAACGGCTGGAGAAATGACGCGCCACCGCACAAGGCCGGATATGCAAATCTCGCCATGACGTAACGCCAGAACCAAGCGCCGACAACGTCATTGCCGAGAAAGAGCTGGCACCGAGCCACAAATGCCAGCTCCGGTCTTTCCCTGACTCTCACTTTGCCATAGAGATGAGTCACGCCGGTTCCAGAGCGTCGCAGACAAGAACCCGGAAGTCGGCCTCGGATACTGGAGTTCTAACCGTCTATGGTGCGGGGGGGAGGGGGAAGGCGGAAAGAAACAATATAATTCTTTTCTCCCACCACCACCACCGTTAAGAGTTGAAGAATGGCGCAAACGGAGTGAGTGGTTTCTCTTTAAGGGTCTTCTCTGGGCGTGGGGAAGAGCGTGGAGGTGGAGATTCCCGTCGGATTGAGGAGGTGGGGGGAGGGGGTTCAACGGTGTCAGGTGAGTGAAAGGCCGTGGGAACGAAACGCGAGGCTTTCACCCCCATCGTTACCTTAGAAGGCGTGTGGGGAAAACGCCTTTAATGGAACACCCCCCCCCCCAATCTCCCCTCAGAGTTGTCATTCTCATTTCATATCATTCCCACCTGGGCCTTTTATTTTATTTTATTTATGTCGTCAAGCATGAATTAGATAACAGATATAAGTATGGCCATGATTGCGAATACATGAAATGGATACGAATACAAGGGAATATTAGGACAGGGATGGTAGGCACACTGGTGGGCTTATGCACGTCCCTTAAAGACCTCTTAGGAATGGGGTGAGGTCGACAGTAGAAAGTCTACGGTTAAAGTTTTGGGGGTTTGGGGAAAAAATCACAGTGTCAGGTAGTGCATTCCAGGTATTGACCACTTTGTCTTCTTTGGTATATGCTGACATACATCTGGCTCTCCTGACACTTCGGCTGTCATTGCTGGGCTGGCTGGTGGGGGAGGAGTCCAGCTCATCTGAAAAACTCCTGATGGGGAAGGCTGGGGGAGGGGGATGATGCTCTCCCATCCTCTGCAGACATTGAATAAGAAGTTGAAAGTCTGTAGAGATTCATCAGTCATCCAGGTTATGGATGCTTTTTTTTTCAAGAGGCAACTGGACTTTCTGGGTTTTTTTTCCTTTGAAGATGTTTCACTTCTCATCCAAGAAGCTTCTTTGGCTCTGAAGTCCAGTTGCCTCTTGAAAAAACGCCTTTGGGCTAAGCTGTTGATACTGTTTAAACACATATATGAGAGCCTCCAGAGGTTGTGGGTGCTTCAACACTGGAAGTTTTTAAGATGTTGGATAACCTTATGTATGAATTGGTGTAAGGTTTCCTGCCTGGGCAGGGGTTTGGGCTAGAAGACCTCCAAGGCCCCTTCCAACTCTATTCTATTATAAAACAAAGATAGAAGGGCAGAAAGAAAAGATAAAAAAGAAATAGAAGAAGTTTCTAATTTCCTTAGCAGCAAATAAAATTTTAATTACAAAGTAATTCCTTACTTTAGGATTACAAAAAAAAAACAAAACCCCTCACCAGCAGTATTTTGCTGCAATTATCCAAGACCTATAATAAAGCACAGTTCTTTTCAGACAGGTTAATGTTAGGCAGTTGTTTCTTAAATAACAGTTTTTCCAAGTTTTCTGTTTTAGACATTGCTTTTATTTTTAGTCCTGTTTCTACGCAGTCTGACGGCTTTGCATTCTCTTACAGCTTCCCAAATGTGACCCATGATGTATTCAATTTCACCCTTCATACCACCCTGGCCCTCACTACAAAACTAGTGCTTCCTACACCTGCCAAACCAATCCTTCCAGTGCAAACTGGCGTCCAGGCTCAACAGGAAGAACAATCGAGTGGCATGACTATATTCTTTAGTCTCCTTGTACTAGGTAATCTCATATTAATTATTTTTGATAGCAATCATGGAAAAATGAAAGATGTGAAACACAATTCCAGTTATGCTTTCTGATCTGTATTGCTAATATGAAGAAAAAGTAGAAGAGTTTTTTAAATTTCCAAGATAGAAGGAAGCAGATGTGAACATTAGCTTTCCTCTTTCTGAAATGAAATTTGCATACCTTTTTACTCATGCAGGGTGATACAATGGCTCAGTTGTTAAGACCCTGGGCTTGTTGGCTGGTAGCTGGCAGCCCAGGTTCAAGATCTGAGCAACAAATGACAAGATGAGCTCCTGTCTTTGCTTCAGCTCCTGTCAACCTAGCAATTCAAAAGCATGCAAATTAGAGTAGATAAATAGGTATCACTTCAGTGGGAAGGTAATAGTACTACTTGACATCATACTGGCCACATGACCGTGGAAATGTCTTTGGACAGTGCTGGCCCAATGGCCTTGAAACGGAGATGAGCATTATTTCTTATAGTCAGCAATGATCAGCAGAGTAAAATCCACAGGAACTCCTTTACCTTTATCTTTTTGCTTATGCATATAAGTAAGTAGCAGGAACATGAAATTTCACATGGTTAGAGCAGGGGCAGAAAATATTTCTTTTATCAGGAGCCACACCTTGGGAGTGTTTTTCTCTCTCTTCATTTTACTCATTTGGATAAAAGTGTGAATTTGAGAGGATTATGCCATATGAATAGGTATACTCATAAGTTTCCAGAAAGCTTTTTTGGCAGGGGATTTAGAATTGCAACTTTTTCTAAGAATTTTGATTTCCCTCTTAAAAATGATGGGAAACTGTACTGCCATTGTTCATTGGTTTTGTCAGAATGGGATATGAGTAACCAAATGGAATATGAAATAAGCAATTCAGAAATCACATGTGGCTCATAGGTTATCTATACCTTGTGTATTGGGTCAATTTCCCCATCCAGCAGATTTTGGCAAATGTTATCTGTGGTTTGCTAAATGTTTACAGATTCTTGAAGATCTTGTCTGTCACAAACCACTCTGTGTGCCCATGGGTCTTAGTGCATTATGTGAAGGTTAAACCTTCTGGAAATAGCATCATAGCGTCATTTAACTAAATGGAGTTAGAGAAGCCACATTGGCTTCTCTAACTATTTAGTAAACTACCATGGCTGCACATGAAAGTTGATGGCTGCATACAAATCATGAAAATGTAAATATTTTAAGATGAGGTATAATATGTAAGTGCCGTTAAAGGCTGCATTCTTCCTTTTGGCTCAGCCATGTTGTGTAAAATTTGTAAACTATTAATTAGGATTTAATATAGTATGTAGATTTAATATAGTATGTACCTTTATCTTTAACTTAATACTGTGTGGGTATCAAATTAATGACTTTTTCCAGGATAAGAGAAAACAATTTAATAAGTTGTTTCTTGAGAATAGCAGGTTATTCCCAGCCGAAGCATAACTTTGGCAATTTACAGGTTACATTGTAGTTTGCATGAGTAGAGTGGTAATTTATCCTGGAGTTTCTCTATTTGCCTGCTTAAATGAGGATTATTCCTAATGGATACAAAATTCATAATCCTGAATTTTCAATTACAATAAAAATATTATATTACTATTAGAGTCATTTTCTTCCTAACCATACCTTACAAATTTGTAAACAAAAAAAAGGTGAGTTAAAAATATAATAACAAAAATTGTTAGGGGAGGAACTATCATGACAAGAAGCACTAGTGATATAAAAATATGCAAAAAATTTGAGGAATGGTGATTAATAGGATCAGTTCTTACATTTTAAAAATATTCTGACTATAGTGTAATAATTTTTGTAAGGCAGATTTAGGTTACTAAAATTTTTAGACAGCCTGTTGGGCTTCTATTTCAGGTTCTTGATATAAAGAATATGAGTTTCAATACGTATCTTTAACCCTTTTTCCTAGGCTTGATTAATCACAGCTTAAGCGTTCTAACAAGAAAGAGCCTTATAAGAATATAAATGAATTACAAAGCTCTTTTGAGTTTTAATATAATTGCTTTTTTTGTGCATCTCTCAATGTGGAAGAAAAATTTACATCATTTTTTGGAAATGTTATTGTAAAGAAAATTAGTTGACTAAGATTAGAACAGGATCACTGCCAATTTGAACTATGTGAGCGTCCTAAAATTAATGATCTTTCCAAGAAGGTCTGTTTACATTGATGCTCTGTATGTTTAGGGTAGATTCTAGAAACAAAATACACAGGAATTCCCTGTCTAAATTAATCATTTAGAAAAATTCCTTTATAAAAATAGAGAGAATTGTGTATAGCCCGAATGCAGCAGATCAATGCTCCAAACCCATGCAGCTTACTGAATTATTTTTGAAAGAAAATTGCTTCATCTTTTATTCATCCATGACAGTGTATAACCTGAGTGCATAGCTATATTTTTACTTAATTAAATCCTCCCATTGCTTCCTCAATTCCAGATTTAAAATTAAAGGGTGTTGTCCCTTCATTGCACTTGGAATGTAAAGGCATGTTTCTTTTGTTTTTCCTTGAACTTACTGTTGCAGAAGGAATCTGATTTTACTTCTATTCCTACTTCCTCTGAACTGAAGGTGACTTCTTTTTGAGGAAATATGTCTAGAATTATAGAGTGAACCTCTTCATAATATGCAATTGTGTAATCTGACATAGCTGACATAGAAAAAATTGTTCCCAGGAATGGGATCCATTAAAGCAAATCGGTTAAACTTTGGTTCTGTATGAAAGATACATTTATATAGTCTGTATATATTATTTAGCTTTTGCTTTCCATTACTGTTTCTGGTTGTATTTTCACAAACATAGTTAATTTGTAAGTTTTGTTTATCCTGAAAATCTGGTTGTCAGTTTGAATGATTGTTTATACCATCATAGCCTAGTGCATTCTGGTTGAATTGAATTATAGTTTCTATTTTAATAATGGTTGATCTTTTGTAAGTGTGGGAATTATTCTAAGGAAAAGTATGTTTTCCTTTGAAATACCCCTATGCTATTTTGGAAAAGTCAGTTGGACCCGTCTTCTTTTCTAAAGTGAGTAGTAAGTACTGGTAAGAACTGGAACACTAATTACTGTTATTTTTAAATAATTATCTGAAAGGGTTTCTTAGACCCATAAGCTCCTGAATATTAATTATTCTTAAATATTCAAGTATATCCTATATTACTGTTTCTCCAGATGGGGAAGACTCTGAAGGTTGTTTTGTATTTTAAACAAGATAGGAATAAGACATGCCCTGAATAGTTGAAAAACTTTTTAATTGCATTAGGGAGATATTTGCCAGAAGGAAACCAGTTTTGATAACTGCTGAACTTTTTTTTAATAATGTCAATTGCAATAATGTCAATGGCCCTGAAGAGTGCCCTATCTAAAAAAGTGATTCTATAGTTAAGATTAAAACACCCCAATAATAAAAAATAACTTTTTGTGAGTTTTAGTGATTTTATTTGAAAAGGAATAAGTGTTTTGTGTTCATATAATTCTAAACCAGATTATGATTTAGTGCCTAGTTTGAAACCAGCTAATATCAGAAAGCATAGGTTTCCCTTTATAAATGTATTAAGAAAAATTCTATGGTGATATGTCATGCGGTATCATGTGAAACAATATAAGAAAACAAGGATTGAATAGATATAGCCGATATCTTTTTTAAACAGTGCCTTATCTTTGGTTTTTAGAGAGAATTAATGTCTGGCCTTCAAGACCAACTTAATATTTGAAAAGCATTAAATGGAATATTTAAAGCTAAAGAAAAAAAAGAGATGATCTTGTGAAAGAAAGTAATTCTCTCTCTCTCTCTCTCTCTCTCTCTCTCTCTCTCTCTCTCACACACACACACACACACACACACACACACACACACACACACACCTCCTTTTCACATTTGGCATCATGAACTAAATTCCTGAGTACGGTAAAATTATTTTGAAAGCAGCCAGTTCTATTGTCCCCACATCCTCCTGACAGTGGTTTTATATCTATGTGTTATCTCTATACAGATAGTGCTCGACGTTCGACCACAATTGAGCCCAAAAGACAGTTGTTATGTGAATTTTGCCCCATTTTACAAGTTTTCTTGCCACAGTTGTTAAGTGAATCACTGCAGTTGTTAGTGACACCATTGTTAAGTAAATCTGGCTTCCCCACTGACTTTCCTAATCAGAAATTTCTAAAAGGTGACCCCAGGACACAACACTCATCATAAATACGAGTCAATTGCCAAGCGTCTGGATTTTGATCATAGGACCATGGGAATGCAGTGCACGGTCGTTAAGTGTAAAAAATGGTCATGTCACTTTTTTTAGTGCTTTTGTAACCTTGAACAGTTACTAAACATAGTGTTGTAAGTCGAGGACTACCTCTAATAAGTTTGTAAAATGTGGCACAACAAAATAAGTTCCTTGGGGGTATATGGATCTGGTTTGATGGGGGGGGGAGGGTTTTGGAGGAAAATGCCTTTGGATCAGGGTTGACCCTTGGCAACTGCTTGGATGAGTCTAGGCAGTTTCCTGATCAAAAGTTATGGAAGTAGTCTGCCATTGTTTTCTTCCTAGGGCTGAGAGAGAGATCCAAGGCTCCATATCTGGCTTTGTGCGTGAGGCATGACTAGAACTCCTCGTCCCCCTGGTTCTAATGATGCCATCATCATTACCACAAACTGACATTATCTATGATTATCACCAACTGCTTCTGTCCCTTCCTACAATTTATATTATGTCACTTGGAAGAGCCAAGGTGGCACAGTGGTTAAATGCAGCACTGCAGGCTACTGCTAGATCAGCAGGTCAGCGGTTCAAATCTCACCGGCTCAGGGTTGACTCAGCCTTCCATCCTTCCGAGGTGGGTAAAATGAGGACCCAGATTGTTGGGGGCAATATGCTGACTCTTTGTAAACCGCTTAGAGAGGCCTGAAAGGCCTATGAAGCGGTATATAAGTCTACTGCTATTGCTATTGCTATTGCTATAAGACTTCAGTGCAAAGAAA